TGTATTTAAAGGAGCTGCCAGCTGAGACCATCCTACTCTGCCACAGCGTAGTTGATCTCCTCGTTCTCCCAGTGCACCAGCGCCACTTCGTAGGGCTGGATCTCGTGCTGCTCCAACAACCTCAGAACCTTTTTCATCTGTTCACGGGAAACAAAGCGTGTTCGTAACAAACGCTCTCCGAGGCACCAAACTGTTTAAAACCTTAAAATCCTGTTTACCGCTTTCTCCTCAACGTTCCAGAAAACCACCGATCCTTCCCTGAAACGTTGAAACAACAGATTTAATGATCTATTTTCCAAAACACTCTGAACCAGACACATTACTAGACCATAATTTAGAACAGGACATATTTAATATGCTTTAAATTCACTAAAATAAATAAACACAGACGTCCCTAAAGCCAATTAAAGTCAAAGTATTTTAGTTTTACCTGAAGAAAAAGACGAGCGCGCAGTCGTCTGCTTTGGCAGCCATGTTGGTGCTGATCACCAGAACGTTTGAGGCGTCTGCAAAGAAAACAACATCCATCGCAGGTGAGACGCTGACGACTCAAACTGACATTGAAGCTCCTGAGTCGTACCTCTTGGTAAATCGACCTCCTGGAAGCCGTGGTTCATCAAATCATGGCTCAGTGTTGGCAGATGATACTGATCAGCTGTTGCGAAGGCGATGCATTGCATCATATCCTGCAGACAAAAAGCACGGCTGCGTTCAGAAGTGTGCCACCGCGGCGAAACAAACTCAACAATACGACCGCAGGCTGAATCACCTGGTCTTTGTCCACAGAAGGCTGGTTGGCTCGAGACGGCTGTTTTGTTCGTGGCCCTTTAGGAGCCCTTTTCCCAGGAACTGGTGCTGGTTTTAAAGGTGATTTTAAAACTGGTGTTACAATACGAGTAGAATAAAAACACACGGGTCCACTTCTACCGGTGACGCCCTCACAGTTACTTAAAAGAGGAACGTTAAGACGTTTACATCCCCAGAAAGCAGGAGGAACGTGTTCTTTATGCATGTGCTGCTGGTGAGAAGTTCTGGTGAACATCCACAGCCCAGATCGAGTCCTGGGTTCTGACCCACACGTGTGGAGCTGCAAAGATTGTGAAACAGCGGCGGTGATGAAAGGTGGCCTGCTCTCTGACGCCCGCAGGGTTCCCAGTCTGGGTCTGCTCTCTGA